CCACTTCAGAAAGGATGGACTAGAACTCTGGTTATGCCCAGTTCTCCTTAAGGAGTGAAGCTCCTGAGTTGCAGGAAGGACTTCTCTTGGGCAGACACGGAATATGCTAGCTAGAAGCTATTATGTTGTCTCAATGTTTTAAATAGCTCTTCCTGTGCTCTGACCCTGGCATCTCTGTGTGCCACTTGCATGCAAAAAAATGGTTAACAGCAAGAAGAAAAGATCCCATTATTGGAAATGAACCTGAGTTCCTTACTGCTGTGGGCTGGTGAGAATTAGAGATCAAGAGCACACGAAAACTGTTCAAGCTCATCAGTTCAGAAATCTCTCTCCTCCTGAATTTCAGTGGCAAGAGTCATTTAAGAGCTTTCCTTGTAGTACCTTCTTGCTGATCTGAGCCGCAGACCCTACCGAGTTTATACCACTGCTCAGAAAACACGAAATCTTGTACTGAAGCTTTTTTCCCTTCCTAGTGTTTCAGGCTCCAAAAGCTGTATGCCATAGGGAACTCTAGTTTCCCTCCTACCCAGAAACAGCCTCATTTCAGGAATCTCAAGGTGAGGGCTAGAATGCTACTGTAGTTATACCTTCTGTCAATAGAAAAATCTCTGCATTTATTCTCTACCACCCTGCACAACCTGTTAAGAATGAGAGCAAGCAAGGTACAGGTGACAGATATGTCATTGCTGCACTGTAACAATATACTTTGTATACAAGCAGAGTGAGAGTTTCATAAGACCTACTTAGAAAAGAATTCAGTATTTAAGCGTCATACTTAAACAGGAGAAAACCACCTAACCATAGGAACGGCTGATCTATTTTGAACAGTTTACATCATAAACAGAAAACCTTTGCATTTTAGTGCCCACTGCAATACTTATAAAAGTGAACAACTCCTAATAATTTCATTCAAATAAAACACAACCTAAATCTGGTCAAAAATGTTAAAATAAAAAACAGTTTTTCTGAACCTGAACATTTCACAATGTTTTGCAAAGTTGAAAGGCCACCCTTTAAGTACCTCCAGGCGTTTTACTGCCCTTCCTACCCTTTTCCTTACTCCTATTCTGAAACATCTCTGCTATTTTAGCTCTTTCTGGGGAGGAGCTGTGAGCTGCAGTCAGATGTGTCAGGTGGCAAAATAGAGTTGTTCTGCAATACAACCCGACTGGGAGGGCTGCAGGCATCTTCAGGCAGCATGGCCAGGCTACATGGAGAAAGTGCTAAGCTGCTTGTTTAGCAGGAAAAAAACGCAGAACAGGGCAGTTTTTCAAAGTTTGTGAGCAGTAAATCTGACTGCTGTCTCTGTTGCTCTAAAAATAAGCTGGCCATAGAATTTTAAAAAGTAAAAGACAATAGTTACAGGAACAGCACCTGGTACATTGTGCCTGTGGTACAAAAATCAGAGTTCTCAGTCCATCCCTGACATGCTTAGTCTTTGTTTTCTGTGTTTTTTTTTCTATTGTTTTCTTCCATATTTCCTTTTCAGAATGGAAGTTAATGCCCCTAAAAGTTGGTTAGAATTGTGTATCCTTCTGCACAGCTCTCTTGAAATTTCACCTCTACAAAATTATCCCATTTGCAGTCTATGTCATCAAAAAGCAACAACAAAAGTGTTACCCTATCAAGACAGTGTTTCACCACAATTTCAGTCTTGTGTCCTGTAAAGGCCACGTTTGGAGTAGATGCTGATTGAAGGTTTGAGCCAGCTAATAAGAACTTTTCCCTCCCTTAACCTAGCTCAGAAATGGTCCTTATAAAATGTGACCCTTCCTTAGTAGCCCTTTAACCACATATGCAGTCCAGATAACATGCTTGTACCACATTGTATGATAAAAAAAAAAAAAGGACTGCAACTTCTTTCTTTTAATATCAGTCATGTTATAGCATTTAGTAAACAAGGGTCCCTTCCCTCCTTCTTCCTTTGGATTTAATACTACAATGTTTTAGGGAGAAGAATGATTTCCTGATCCTTCTGTGAGTGAAACCTATAAAGGATGGTCAGACTGGGTTTCTTATCAGCTTCTGTTTAATTGCAGTTCTTGTTATAAATGGGAATAGGTAAAAGAAGATAAAAAAATCTAGTGTACTCATAACCAAAGCAAATCCAAGCTGATACCTTACATGTGTTTTTATCCTCTAGAAGCAACTGTTGCATCACCCAGAGGAGCCTTCTTCCGTGCCAGTGCCCTTCTTGCCGCATAATTTGCCCCCAAGAGACTTATTGCAGAAAAGCATAATTTATCCTTCATATAGACAGCAGAAAGTTCATGCATCAGCTACTATAAAAGGAAGTGTGCAGGTAGTGAAGAAGTGATGTAAGAATCAATGTGATACTTTAACAAGTACAGATGACTATTGACTTTTTTTTTCCATTTGAAGTATTAAAATGGCAGATGATCAAGCTCACCTTAGGCTTCCAACTAACTAGGTTGGCACAGTTCCTTGAATAGAAAAGTTACCCTCCAGCTTCTTAACTTAATTCTCACCTTGAATGAAACCTCTTCAGAACAGTTAGATGACGAGTAAAAACAATTTGCAGAGTGCTATATATTCCCTATTATTGAATGAGAAAAGTTTACTCAAAACGCTCAGTGTTCTGTCAAGATAAAGCACATATTTTCATGGCCTTATACATAGTTTGATTCCTATTCTTAATGGCATGTAAGAATATTCTCACCTTTGTGTTTATATATATATTTTTCCATGCAGAAATTATTTCCTTGGAAGAAGCCAACTTTATTATTTCAGGATGTTATTGGTAGATAAAAGACTTAGAAACTTGCAGATCTACAAACTTCTCCAGTGTGTTCACCAGAAAGACAGGAAGCAAATAGAAAAGCTGATCAAGCTTGGAATTCCAGATCTCATTAATTTCACAGAGCCTGAGGATGGATACAGTGCCCTTCACTTGGCCTGCATTAAAAATGATACCGACATGTGCAGCTTCCTGCTAGAGAATGGAGCTCATCCGGACATCCAAGATAAAATGGGATGTACTCCAGCAATGAAGGCCGCTGAGCTAGGACATGACTTGGTTTTGGACTTACTAGTAAAAGCTCAAGCAGACATGACTGTTGTTGATAATGAAGGAAGAAGTAAGTTAAAAAAAAAAAAAAACACCTATCAGAGCAGAAATACCAAAGGGCTGCTATTACAGTTGCATTTCTGTGGTTCCAGTGACTGAGAGTTGTGCCTTGGTACTGCCTGGCCTTAGGGCTTGATCACTAGTGAGAAAGCATGGTCGGGGTAATCCTTACAGTTCAACAAAAGCTATTTGCCATAAGACCTTTGGTGGAAAATAGGTTTATTCTCCCTAAACAGTCTGGGCCTTTGAATCTTAGCTCCCTTCAGTGCATCACTGAATAGTAGCTCGTAATTGAGAATCACGTTCCTTCCACAAACTGTCATTAATATTGAAGACTGGTTTGCTCCCTGGGTTAAGATACATGCAATGTGATTTCTGGTTAAGGGTATTACTGCAAGAGAAGTTAAAAGGCATCTACTGAAGGAGTCTGGCCTTTCAGGTGTGAAGCTGACTGTTTAAATAACTTCCTTATCATTTAATATTGCTCTGCAACCCCTTGTATTTTTCTTTGCAGGTATCCTGTTTTACAGCATTTTACCTACAAGACGGCACTGCCACTGCACTCGGATTGCCTTAGAAAATGGTGCAGATGTCAACAACTGCACTACTGAGGGGAAGCCTGTATTTGTACAAGCCTGTGAACAAGCTCAGGGCATTAAAGAAATTTGCCTGAATTTTTTGGAAAGAGGAGCAGATCCTAACGCAACAAATGCAGTATGAATTTTTCTGTGTATATTATATTCCTAAGAGCATATATAAAGGATTATGGAATAGTAGTCGGACCACTAGACTATGGCTGTAAATCCTCACATTAAAATAATAACAGCAGCAGCAAGTGGTCAATTCTGTTGCTGTGTCTATTCCTTTCCTCTTGCCTTCAGAAGGGAGGGAGAATGAAGGTGTTAAGCATTCAGCTTGAATCATGTACCCCGATTTAGATTTTTGTAGGTTAAAGTGCATATATTTTATAAAAACAACCAGGCCAGCTCCGTAACAGCTGTAGTTGGCTATTTCAGTGGAGCAGTGCCGATTTGTGGTAATTTGGGCTACCCATGCTTTTGATCCTTATATTTGCAGTATCCTGCCTACCTTGGCTGACACATGGATATCTGTGCCACATCTTTTGATACACATGCCCCCTTCACACACTTTGTGCACTTGCAAAATGGAGTATCCTCCATTTTTTTTATAATATGAGGGGCACACACCTGGTCATAAAGAGGGAATGGTTTGCTGGGCCCACAGTAAAATCACCAGGGAGCAAAATGTGTTCTGATAGAACGTCCACGACCCACTGCTTTCTGTCCAAGCGTGTGCTCCCTTCACCCCTGTGTACAGCAGTGAATAAGCTGTGCTAAGCACTGCTGGGGGGCACACGTTACAACTAGGTTGTCCCCTATCTGAAATGCATTATATTTTCAGGAAGGTTACCAGCTCTAAGTTGATCATTATAAAGAAAATATATACTGCTATCAGAAACATGCACCATCAGGTACAAAAAGTACAAATGTATTAGAACACAAATTTTTCCTCACAGACAGTACAGTAGTGGAATTCCCTAGCATCTTTCTTACTTATATATTCTCCAGCCATGCTTACTTATATACTTCCATGCTAGAGGTGATATTTTGTGTTAAAACTTGTAAACATGCATGAAAGTGTGCACACAGAATAAGAAGTTCTTTCAGACAAAGAACTGATATTCAGGGGACTATTCCACTGATGCAGATTATGTATTTGAGTCACTAGGGACTGACTACTCACATTTCAATAACAGACAACAGGACAAGGTTCTTAAAAACTGGCCTGCAAAGGTCTTTGAAATTTCAGACTCACCTTTTTACAACAGTGCCTAAAAGGAGGCCTCCAGTTTTAAGCCACTTGCAACTACCAGATCGCATTGTTCCAGAATTCCCTTCCAACCTGAATTAGCCTATGATTCAAATTATAAACTATTTTCTTGTTACCCTGCAGGCTACAGGTCGCACAGCCTTAATGGAAGCAGCAAGAGAAGGTGTTATTGAGCTGGTGCGTGCTATACTTGAAAGAGGAGGAGATGTTAATGTATTTGACCTTGAAAGACACAGCGCCGCACATTTTGCAGCCAAAGGAGGCTTTTTTGAGGTATTGTCTTTAGCAGTGCAAAGCATTGCTGCAAAGCCAAACAAGGCTTTCTTTGAGCCCAATATCTCAGCTTACTGAAACATAATAAGCAATAGTCAAGAGCATCTTTTTAAGTATTGTAGAAAATAAGAAATACTAGCATTTCTTTAAAAATGCAGAGACTTTTTTTCCCCGAGGTACCTATGAGGGCATGTTTGCTTGTTTTTCTGTCTGGTGGGGCAGTTTATTTGGAGAGCTGGTTTCCCTCTATGCATAGCATGCAACAATTGTGTAGCATGGATTTGACCTTCCCGTTATAAGGAGAACTCATGCAAATGCTTTAAAGTAGGCATTTTCTTCTCCCCCTTCCCTCCTCATATACTGTTTTTGCAAGTATATAAAACTATGCAGTTTTGATTATGCATATAACATCACAGCTACTTTAAAAACAGTGCCCTGCTGGTAAGACTGAAGGAGTTCCATAAAAATAGCATTAGAGCAAACAAATATTATGTGTGGATTGATAAACTGAGCATGCCAAAGAAGTTCACTTTTTTGGGAATACGTGCTACTGCATTTATTTGTGAGCAACAAGATTTTTTATAATACCATCTTCTTTTTTTCCAGATTCTGAGGGTAATTTCAGCTTACAATGGAGATGTTGGTCTGATTGCTATGAATGGGAACACACCACTTCATTATGCTGCAGAGGGAGGGTTTGCAGATTGCTGCAAGTTTATAGGACAAAGAGGTATATTAAAAATAACTTATTTTACAAATATCACCTATACTCTATATTTGCTAAATAAAATATTTAATTTTGGCCTCTATGAGATATTTAACCCTCTGGAATATCAGTAGTACATTTAATTCTCATTAACAGCAGCCTAACATAACCTGTCATGCCATTTTTTTCCACTGATGAGACTAAGAAAATGTAAACCATTTTTCAAAGCAAGCAGTAGAAACATCATGGATTTGTACAGTTCAGAATTGGACTGGATTAAGTGATTGGAGCTACAGTTGGAAATATTGCACTGCAACTTCCAATAGAGAATTAATTTTTGTTTTCCTGTTCATTTAAACAGCTTGATCTCGGTGTAAGGAGAAACCTAGCTCCCAGGAGGGATGAAACATAATCCAAAGAAGTTCTGATCATTTCCTAACTTCATCTAAACTGTCATGTCACTTCAAGCTTTGATTGCATAGGACTATGCAAAATCTTATGTTGTGTTCTTTTGGTTAACTAGTAGTGAAGAGCCAAACTGTAAGATCTGTTAGTGGTGTTTAATCTTAGTCTGAACTTCTTCATGTCCTAACTACTTTAAGAAAATCTTAAAATTTTCATTGAACTTCTGCCTTGCCATACGTCTTCAGACTAAACATAAAAACAGAGCAAGAGCTATCTGATGAATCTCTTTCTGCAAAATACAGACATGTGGCTAAACCTGCCCACCTGTGCTCAAGAGTTTTATACCAGCTATATATATTGTTAAGAAAGTATAAAACTGTTGATCTGTGCTAATTAGCTGCCTATTTAGTAAAAACCTCTTCCATTAAATGAATTGTGTCTATGTTTTTAGGCTGTGATCCTACATGGAAGAACTTATTAACAAAGACCCCAAGACTCATTGCCAAGGAAGGTGGTTTTAAGCCAGCAACAAAAGAATTGCGTAAAATTGAAAAAATCTTTGCTAAACGTTCCAAGCCTGAAGCTAAGGATGACAATCCCTGCTGGGCCCTCAAGTTATATGACTGGTCTTTGGAACATCAGGCTGCCCTCCGAGAGGCGTTTGATATATTTGACCAGGGAGATGGAACAGTGATGAAAGACGATTTTATATCAATTATTCGGAAACGGTGTGCCTTTATAGATGATGAACAATTAGAAACTGTTGCTGAAAAGAATGAAATGTCTCCTGGTGCGGGAATCAACATTGAAGAATTTTTTAAAGGCTCCAAATACTTGCAAAAAGCCTATCTCATAACATCTTTTGGACCCAAAAAGAAGAAAGGGACGAAAGCAAAAGGCAAGAAAGACATCCCAATCCCCGTGCCAATTTGCGTCATTCCAGAGAGTGCAATCCCACGTGGAGAAGGTGGCCTCCCTGCGTACATGATTGAAGCTTTGCAAAACATCACTGAGAGTGACCGCTTTAACCAACAGCACCCATCTGCCCATCCTGTGCATGATGACCGCGCATGGTATATAGATGAACCAAGGAAAATGTACATGAATATTAACTACCTTGTCAGAGCAGGAGACATTCTGTCTCTCAGGAAGGCATTTGAGGAGGGTGTGCCAATAGATGTAAGAGATAAATACTATAAAACACCTTTAATGACAGCATGTGCAAGTGGAAACATAGCTATTGTGAGGTACCTTCTGGAAAAGGGGTAAGATCATTTACAAGTTTTTCTAATTGCTATTTAAGAGGGTTTTGAGAAGTGTGCATTTCTAGTAACCAGTTGGGTGCAACCCACTAGGCTTGCGAGAAATTCGTTTTTAGTAGCACAGTGGCTTAATAGTAAAATTAGTTAATAAAAGCTTAATATTAAACAACACTTTGCTCACATCTACTATGTCTGTACACACTTAGAACTGAACTCCCAAAATTACGGGAAGAAATTTTGGAAAATCTGGCTAAAGGGAATTGCTTGAATCATCAAGGTAATCCTAGACTTCCCTGTGTCATATGCCAGGGCCTTTTTAGGCAAATGCTTTAAGAGGGTAAGCCATACAGAAACACTTTCCTGGGCAGCTCAGCAGGCAGAGGCAGCAGGATTTACACTGGAAGTATATGCTGCTATTTCATATATTCCCCGCTTTAAGGTTACCCACTTCAGCCATTTGTACCCTACAGACACTGGTGAAAAATCTCAATAGCTTTAAAAGGAGAGAAACTTAAGAAAAAAAAAATCAGTCATGCTTGCGTAACAGTGTAATCTGTTCTCTTTTAGAATCAGACTGGTGTAGTCCTATAGTCATTCAGATAAATGCAGAAATTACCTTTTTATTTTTTTTTTCTTCAAAAATAATGACATTTATATTCTCTCCCTATAGCCAAAAGTCATTTTAGTGTTCATTAACAAGTATGAGTGCCTGTAGTCTTAGCTCCAGGCTTTGCAGAGACTCGCTGACATTAATGGTGACAGCATAAAGTTGCAAAAACTTGTGTATTCAGGTCTTCCGAAGACAAGGATACAAGAGTGGTCTGGCAAATTAGCCTCCACTGAGTTCATCAAACCTCCCTAGACTACACTGGAGTTATTTAATTTTGTGTGCACTGAAGTGCACTTATTTTTAAAATACTAATTGAAAGTTTAAATGGACAGAAATCAGAAAATGCAAAGGAAGGTCATCAGTAGAGTATTTAGCATTGCATCTTTCAACAGTGTACACTTTCAGACATTTTCTGCTTGCTATAGGAATCTAAACTCTTTCTCTAATATGGCCTCTTCAGTTCAGTATTACAAATCCATAACAAAAAAAAGCAATTATTTAAAACTAGAGAAAATGTTGCATTTTAAACAAACTGGTGATATCTATTTTTTACCTTACTCTAGAAAGACTCAGAAATAAATTACATTTATGCCAAAGGCAAATTCACCAGTGTTTGACAAGAAAGAAATACCAAAGTGTTTTTAAAACTATGCTATGTTTTCCCTCTTTGATCAGTTTGCTTCTACTAGAAAGAAGCTAGCCAAAGGAATTCAGGGACAGAAAGAAAGGATCAGTACAGATACGGGGCAGGGTGAGGGGGACAAGAAAGTGAAAAGCTGGAACTACTTATTTCAGTGATGAGAAATATAGCAGTATGTAAACTGCATATGCATAAATCAAGCTTACTAAGCAACCAAAAGATAACAAAGATGAAAAAACGCACTGGTAGGTCTAAGGAATTTCTGCTATAAGATCTCACCACAGGTAGGATTTTGAAAGACTATAAAAGACTAAAAGGAGGACTATAAAAGACTAACAGATGAACAGATGAACTCATTCTTTTGATACAATATTAAATATAAACAATTTGATAGGAAGAACAAAAAAAAGCCCTCCCTGGCAGCAGGCTGTGTCACTTTAAAAACAAAACAAAAAAACCAAACACCTCTCTCCATTTCTCCTGGGCAGATATCAGGCCTTTGTCCCTTGTGTAAATGGGACACTCACTTCAGGACTTCTGGGCAGGCCTAGATAAAATAGGAAGTAGTTTTTACCCAAATACTGGGGAATTCCCTCTGATATTTCAGCCTCTTCCAAACCACTCATGGCACATGTCAGAGATGGCAGAACTGTGTATGGTCATGGACTGTACTTACACTAAGTTTAAGAGAACCTAGTGGCTCTTGTTTCCCAAACTTTGCTTTTGCATGCCCTCAGCCCCAAAGCTTCCACTAAAGCTAAAAATGCTAAAAAATGATAATGCTTTTTCTCTGAACTTCAGCTGAAGGCAACATAGTGCTAATGTTACACCATGATTATCCCTTGCAGACCATGCCATACATAAAATTATTAGCCTGGCAGCAGAAATAAATCTAGCCTAATTATGTGACATAATACCTGAAAAAAAAATCCTCAGATTTTTAGTGATCTTTCTCTTAAATCTTCTCTATTTTAGGCTCCAATCCATCTCCTCCTCAGTTTTTAAATTACATAGTAAGCTATTTTGCCTAGGAGCAAAAGGAGCACCTGTTCTTGGCCTCCAACCATTCTTTTTTGTATTACTTAATTTGCCTGTCGCTGTTACCTGCTTCATCTCATCCTCAGAGAGGGACAGTAATGCATAAAATCGCCACCAGTACAAGCTGGTGCTATTGATGCTCCACAACAAGCCATGTCAGGTACTAGAACTGTCAAAGTAGCAGTGGCAACATGAAAATACTCATTTACATTGAATATGCCATTATGGAATGCAGTTAACTTGCACTGTACTTGGAGTTGCAGAAGTTACTCTGTCTAGTAGCTGGCTTCATCTGTTCACATGTCAACTCTCCCCCCCCCCCCCTTTTTTTTTTTTTTTTTTGCAGGGCTGATGTAAACGCAAAGGACAATTTCATGTGGACTCCTCTACACCATGCATGCCATGCAGGAAACCTAGATATTGCTAAACTGATAGTGAAGGCTGGAGGAGCAGTGGATGCACCCGCAATCGGCAAATCAACCCCATTAATAAGAGCCATCGAGATCTGTAGATTGGATATTGTGCAGTTTTTAATCGATGCAGGTGCTAATGTCCAAGTGACAAACAGAAATGGTAAATACCCATTTGTCATAGAATGACTTATTTACTTAGGCATGTACACACGTCATAAAATGAATGTTTAGGTTTTTCAAGCACTTTGGAAGACTTTGAGAAGTGTTCTGAAGTTATGATTGCTGTCAGGATCAGGATTAAGAGTTAAATTCGCCTGGACTTCCAAGTAGTCAGCTTCACTTTTTTGTGCGCCTTTAGAAAATAAAGCAATAGTGATTAATTGCACAGAATGAAAAACAAAACACCCTAAGATTGTGGCTGAAAGGATCCCTGGTAAAGCTGTTCTTCACAGGATATATAGAAAGTTATAAATGGTTTTAATAAAAAAAAAAATCTAGCTAATTGAAGGAAAATTAGATTATAGTTGTGCTCAGTATCCACTATGCCACCCATTTAAATCACTTTGTATGAAATGGGCACAGTTAGAAATGAAAGTGACTTAGCAGGAAAAAGTCTGAACTGATATGGTAGTGTTACCTTCCTACAGCAAGAGAGAGGTACATCATGGATCTGCTTTTTTCTTTAAGAAATTAAAAATAGACTTTTGACTTTTCGTGTGGTGAAAATGTGATAGTGTGGGGGATTTTCATTAGTTACAGTCTGCAGATACGTCAAGGAAATGATATGCCTTAGATTTGCTCTCAGTGAATTTTATTAAATGAGAAGAAACCAGGCACTTCAGCCAGCTAGCATAATTTGTATCCCCAAAGAATCAAACCAATCCTGCTCTCTCCTGATGGATGCTTTGTGGGGTCAGGCAGGAGGAAATATGGGCAATCCTTTCACACCCCCATTCTGCCCAGCATACTGCTGTGTGGCAACCAGGGCGGCTAGCAGGCAGTTCCCTCTGCCCGTGTTTGTACACAGACCTCAGCCCAAGCAAGAGGGAGGGGAAGAGTGAGGGGAGAGTCTTCAGGAACAGATTTAAGGTCTAAGATACAGGGGGCTGTTAACTACAGCCCCAGAGCTGTTTCCAAATGGTAGACTAAAAGTTGCACTAGTTTCAGCCTGCTTAAATTACAATGGAAGAGTGAAGTCTTGTTTATAAGTGTCAAAGTTGCCATTAAACTTCACTTTAGGGCAGTTTATTTTTTTAAAAGTACAAGACTATTTTTAAATTTTTGAACACTATTTTGTATTCTTTGTGGTACTTTAAGAGTAAATAGTTAAACCTTTATCACATTTCAAACCCTTGCTATAATATGTTTAACAGGTGAGACATTCTTACCAAAACACACAGCAGGTAAAACAATGCTTGCAGGAGGGCTATGTATTTTGCATTTCTGTAACCATTTAAAATTCTATACATCTGATAGTAGCAATTTAACTTTACAACTACTTTAGAGCCATGGGGCCTCATCTCATGATATGCAGGAGGGTTTTTCCTTTATTAGGCCCTGACAGTGTTCAGCCTCACTTAAACCCTAGGGCTTCCCCTTTACTCTTGCCAGTCACAGAGCAAGCACTGGGAGAGTTAGATACTACAATAAATTGGTCCAGATTCCTCATCTTGAAATATGCTTGCCATTTTCTAGTGTTAAATTCCCTCAGCTCTCAGATGAGAACTGCAACCTGCCAGATCTTGCATATTAAGCTGCAAATTTGAGGGCTTTAAAAGCAAAGCGACCACTCCAAAATCACACACACTATATCGTTTCGATGCTCATTTCCGCAAACTCTTATTTCTGCGAGCGCTCCTGACGACTGCCTGGCCTCACACCAGTGTCAAGCAGGCTCCTGGCAGCCAAATGGTTAAGAAAACAGAGCTGTAATTAAATTCAGTTGACACTATTGCCATTATTCAGCTATAGAAACTGTCATGTGTTATACAGGTATTTATTTCTATACTGCAGGAGAAAGTGTTGTTGATATTGCAAAAGCCTTTGCGGATTTTAGAATAATTGATCTGCTTCAAAGCAAACTGGACCGTTTGCCAAGAATACTGGAAAAGAAAGAGAAAGAAAAGAAAGGGAAGAAGGTTGCCAAGCCAAAGTCTCCTAAACCAAAGCCTGTAGAGGGAGAAACCGTGAAGAGAGAGGTATGAAAAATGATGACGAGAGAGTAATTGCTGTATTTGCTAATAAATATTAGCATTTTTATTTATTTCATTTACTTGCCATCCAGGTCTATATAAAACTGTAAAACATTTTTCAAGGTAGTATTTTCAAACCCAGTACTTTTCTTGTTCTTGGCACTCCTGGTAGTTGGTCATCAGTTAAAACAATGGCTTGGTAATCACTTCTGCCTCCAGGAAATTTTTCCCAATAGCACTAACACGACACAAAAATCCTTCCTCCTCTTTTCCCACTCCTCCTGTCTTTTCTCCTGAATTTTACCACATGAAGATTTCCCCATTAGCTGAATTCCAGAGGATGTAAGATGTGTACCTTGTTTCCAAGTGCAAAATATTTGTTTAACTGATACCTCCTCCTTCACAGGCATCTGCAACAGTTGTGGAAAAAACCGTTGTTGAAGAGGATACAAAATCCCTGAAGGACAATATTATTTATCTGCATTCTTTGATAGCCAGTGGTGCTACTAAGAAAGTTGACATCACATTCAAACCCAAAAAAGTATGTATGGTAGAAAAACATAAGCACTGTTTTACATGGATTTAGGTAGATGCAGAGATCACATTCTCTGCAGGTCAATGTGTGGAGTTTTCATGAAGTTAATTGAAAGAAGCGGGAAAAATATGGAGCAGAGAATTTGGCCAAGCATTAACATGGGTTAGCCAAAAGTCCAATTTATCTCACCACACGCAAGTGTGTAGTAGAGAATAGAGTTTTCTGAATAGCTTATTATAAAAGGTAACGAGCCAATAAAATTGTGGGAGGGAAAGAAGGGTGAAAGAACATCTTTACAGTGAATAGTTTGCAACAGGCTGTATAGTTAATTCCAGTAACTTTATTTTTGATCACATTTCCTTTCTTCCCTAGCTACAGAAGGCAGAGAGGCTAGAAAGGTCATCACAAAACAGCAATAAACCGAAGTGTTCATGTGTATAATATATGTATATACACATACGCACACAAATAAAACATAATCAAAATTAAGCTTCTAACAAGATTTAAAACAGTATTAGATTAAAATGGTCCACAACAAACTACTAATGCAACTACATTTTCATCGATACAATGCACTTTTTGGATAGGAGCCCTTGTGCGTGGGACCTACACCAACTTCTAACTTGCTTTCTCAGTCAGTTATCACAAGATTATTCATGTCAGCGACAGTTACCGAAATAGATGTTTCACTTCTGTGATCTATACAAAGTACATCCTTACTAGGTATAACTTTCAGTAGTGCAAGTTTAGGAAGTAGAATTCTTTATCAGGGACTCATTAATACTTGTTCTCACATAGCTGAGAACAAGAAACACATGATCACAGAGAAGTACCCAATAATAATAATAATTTGATGACACAATTGATGACCAAGAAGCTTTATCTGGGGGTTTGTTTACTATTTTCCTAAGTTCTTCCTACTGGTTTCTGCTATAGTCTTACGGAATAAGTCTACTCTGCCAGTGACACTACAGTTAATTACTAATTTACACTCTGAGAATATTGGGTGTGACTCAACACTTTATTCTGAACTATCAGCTTTGGGTCTTTTTTCCCCCCATATTAGCCCTGAACTGAACAGAGGGCAGCATCAGAAGTGATAAGAGAAAACACTTTGCTTATGTATGCAAATACTTGTGGTATCTTCTGCTGGGAGGCTGTACCAGTTTTCTTCTACATCTCCAGTTAGAGCCACATTCTAGAAGTCCTTCCTATGATTAACATTTTCTTAAGGCTCCAGCTGCAGAAGTTACATCCAAATTAACTACAAGTTTATTTTCTAGGTTTGGACTCCTGAAGATACAAAAGAGCAGCCAATAAGAAAGCAAGAATTGCTCCATGAACGTTTGGCTTTTGATGAGGACTCTGAAAATTCAAAAAAAATCATATCACCCTTTAAGAGAAATCTTATGGAAAAAGCACACCAGCTGGAAAACGCTACTTCAACACAAGGATCAAAAAGGCCAACTCCTTCGTAAAAAAGTGTGGCCTTTAGTAAAGGCATTCCAATTATGCTATAAAATTTTAGCAACTTTTTCCTCAGCCTTAGTCCTCAAAAAAATATTTTCTTGAAATTAAGTCATGATGCTGGATCAGTATACTTCATGGAATGCCTTCTACTGTGGGACATGAATCCTTTCTCTTCATAAAGTTACAGTTAGGAGATTTTTTTTTTTTGGTCTCAAGATAGGATGCCTCCCTACAAGATGTGTCATCCTTCCCCTTTTCTGCCAAAAGGGCATTAAAATTTCTGAAATATTATGTTCATATTCTGAAAGTCAAGAATATCTTTGCCTTGTCAGATATCTGCAACAGATGAGAAAGAAGATTCAGGTCTTACTACTATCTGGATTACTACTGTCCAGTGAACAATTTTTGTATTCTTATATGCTTACAACCCTTTCTCTTCCTTCACAGCTGATGTTTTGCCCACTTACACTGCTGCAGCACAGTGATTACTCAGGACCTTTACATGTTTGCTCTGGGTAGGCATCTGTGGCTTTTGCTCTCGATAGCTATCCAAAGGGATCATCATTAATCACTCAATATCGAGTGAGATCAATGCCTGTCCAGTTCCAGACCTGCTGATCGGGTTTGATACCAGTAGCCACATATCCTAAACTTTGAAGGCTACTCACAGGTTGTATGAATGCAGATTCATGCAGCCAGAGCTAAGCCCACTAGCACTGGAGAAGTAAAAAGAACTTCAGAATTTGTTATGGTGCGTTCCCCAGAAGGAATGCAGCTACGCTTGAAGTCAATCAGCTTCTCCCCAAACCTCAGAGTGGTGAGCCCACATGTTCTGGTGGACCCTGGTGTCCTGTTTCACACCTCATAAGCTACAGCATGGAATAGTGTCATTAGGTGCCAACTTGGACTACTGACATGAGCTACTTATGTGCTTAAAGACTCATTATAAGCTAAGCATTCAGAGTGTTAGGAATTCAGGAAAGCCTTAAAGAACTAAGAAAACATCACATGGCCTTTATACATATGTGCCTTGCTTTAAGTGTATGTCAATATGACATACAGTAAGAAATAGCTGTGCTTATTTTGCCTTCAAAATTAGTCTATGGTTTTAACCCTGTGTGAGAAGGGGCAGAGGATATACACCAGTGGAGTTATTTACATGAAGACACCAATAAAGTATAGCATGCTTGATTCTAGTTGCTAAGTTAAAGCCAAAGGACTGCCTGACTTCCCGGGGGTTCTTAGGGCTAATCTCCTCAGCACCCTCAGCATAGGGCTGCCTTGCTGCAGGACTGCAGAGGGACAGAAAAGGCAAGATGAAGCATTGCTGCACGTGACACAAGGCTAACAACTCGGGATTGTGCGCCTTATGAAGACAGCTGGTGTTATGCAAAAGAATAAACATGCTTTACTCAGCAATTATACCTCAGTGATTTACAACTATTTTAAGATCGCAGTAGCAGAGGGCTTTTCTGCCTAAGGCATTGCTTGCCTTAGGCCACTTCATAGTGGCCAAGCCTGGCAGAGCTAGAGCTGCCTCCTGGTCCCCTCAAGGCATCAAGAAGAAGCTTTTCTGCATTGAGATAGAGTTGTGCAAAACTCTTCAGCAGCTTCAGAAGAAAGAAAAACACAACAGAACATACCCCAAAACACATTAGGGACATTATATAGGACTTCCTGGCTCAGGACTAGGCCTACTTTCAGCTGTTTTCTTAGATTTGTTTAATGATTTTTGCAGCCGGTATAGGGTTATGTTATTGGGTAAGGCTTTCAGAGGCCCAGTCTTGTCAACTCAGTGGCCTCAGTTCTGCCAGCTGAAGGTATCAAGTGGTATATAGTGCCACTCTTGTGTGTCTGAGGCTAAATACTTGTATCCTTCCCTATGTGGACTGCATTCCTATTTTAGGAGTGTCATCAGCAGCAGATGACACTGTTATCAGTAGGCCTCAAGAAACCTGGACATAGCCCAAGACACAAGTCAGAACTGGCAACTTCTAGCTTACAAGGCTAAGGCATAAGCAGGAGGGGGATAAAGAACAGTGCAGATTGATGATTCAGATAAAGAAGGGCCTGCAGAAGAGAGTAAGATTTCTACCCCCCTCACCGGCTCAGTTGCATTAGACAAGCAAGCTGGAGAATTTGGTTGACATCTTCCAATCGTGTCATCATGGAGTAAGTTGGGGAGTATGGTTCAGAGCCTCCCTCACTGTACACCAAAAGGAGGCAGGGGTCTGATGCACAGAACAGTGATGCACTGCAGAAAACTTTTAGGAATGCGAACACGAATATCACAGAGGAGTCAGTTACAGAGCTCAAAATTGCTTAGTAGCCTTTCTCCTACTGAGAACAAGAGTTGGGAGCAAGCATCAACAGGAGGAGCTTTAAAATGCTAAAGAAAAGAGAGTTTGCTCATTAAGGTGTCAGATGTCTTCTCCCCCACTTCTCCAGTGATTTTGATCAGGCTACATGGTCTTTCATGCCTTTGGGACCCTCTGGAAGTAGAGTTTGAGCTACAGAACGGTAAAGAAAAATACTAGAGTATTGCTGAATCTGACCTCACTGAAAGTACAGAATGAGGACATCATCTCTTACTACCACAAGCACTTGCACAACCAGCCAGCTACCGCCCTGTAGCACCATGCCTGCAGGGCACTTAAGCACTATGTTTGCCCACCTGCAGCCTGCAACTAGCTACCTGCAAGAGAGATGGAGCTCAGCAAAAAAGCTGTAAAGAGATGGAAAAAATAGACAAGAACACATTTGTTCTGTACATCTCTACTTGGTGACCAGACATGACAGAAACTCTAGCACACTACAGGGAATTGCACAAACATTACAGAAAGAAAACCAGACATACTCACGTGAGCCAAATGTAACTCCAAATTGTTCATTAATTCTGAGTTCATCTGTCAACAGTTATTATCTGATAAGCCAGAACAACCTGGCCTCCACTAGAGGGAAAGAAAAAAAAAAAACAAACAAACAAATACAACTATTACTTAAACAGCAAAAGAAACATTTCATCACTACTTTTATCTCCTCCCTCTCCCACTTAGCCTCAGCTCATCTAATTTCCTCCTGAGACAAGAACCAGCTCCTGCAAAACCAGCCCTCCACCACCTAACCCACCCCACCTGAGAGGATCTGATTTAAAAGGGGGCCCAGCTGCCCCTGAAATCACTGCTAAACACAAATCACCGAGTTTTCCCTTATCAGCCTGATAGTTCAAGGGTTTCTGTCAATGAAAGCAGAAGGTCTAAAGCAAGATCCTTACTAGCTTCCTTACCTGCCCAGACCCAGCCTACATCTGCTAAGAAATTTCTAAGCACCCATAAGCACCATGCGACCCCAAATGCTACAGGGCTCCCCAGCTAGCAGAGCTCATCGCTCATCTTGCGCTCGGCACCTAAAGGGCCCAGTCTAGTGGCACTTGCAGGCTACACACAAGAAAATTTACAACACCTCTGCCTCGAGCATGAATGTAGCAACCACCGGCATTCTCAGTCAGAAACTCAGGTGCAGTAAGAAACCACAGTAAAGCTGCTACTGAGTCCACCTGGCCCATTTCTAGGGACCTCTCATGATTCTTGCACTAGGGAGCTGGGTATTCTCCACTACCACTCCAGGCAGTGCATCCACGCTCCTTCCTTTTGTCGTGAGGAACATATCTCACAACTGAAAAAGCTGGAACTTTCTCACCAGCTTATCTGCTGGAGTACTGATAGCAGTCGGAAATTTGCCTAGAAGCAATAAACTAAACAAGGAAAAAAAAAAGATAAATAAAACCCAAGTGAAGGGTACAATTCAAAGACACCTCTGAAGAGGCAAGAGCCTGTGCCAGAGGAATCAGCAGCCCTGTGGATATTTTAGACTGTTTAATCCTACAAATATAGGCCAAGTATAAATCTGCAGTTCCTCAGCAGATAGTTTTGCTTCAGTAAGAAGTGCACTCCAAAGAAAAGCAACGCTTGGTGCCTTCCCTCCACTGGAGCATTTAATAATAACAATTTGTAATAATAACAACAAATTTATAATAAAGATTGTAATATTGAAGGAATAACTACAGCTGTAATATTCCTGTTCTTGGGAGATATTGCATTCCAGCAAGCATCTTGCCCCACCCAATTACTTTACGAGGAAACAGCTTCGTTTTTTAGGTAGCAAGTGGCTAGTGGAGAGGAGATGCTGTGGAATTTCTCTGCAGGGTCTTTGCTTTAATACATTCAGATTGTTTTATTAGCAGGTGCATGGCAGAAGTGGGATGTGTCCTCTGGCACCTTGTGCTTGCTTTATTGTCCTACAAAGATTTGGCCCTCAGCTCCCAGCCCACCCGAGATCAGTATCTCATCTCAGGAGGTGATGCTGGGCTTGCTGGCATTACCTCCGCTGGACTTTTGCTCCTGGGCATTTACCCCTGGGATGCCCGGAAAGCACAGAGCCAGGATTTGGTGGACACCTAGTAGTGATGAGGGTCATGGTCACCTTTGGCTGGTTTTACTGTCCAGGTGGGGCAAGGGATGCCAAGAGGAAGCAGCAGGTAGTATGTGAAGGTAGATGCTGCTTCTGGCATTGGGGTGGTGAAGATCTCCCCACGGGAACTGTAGCCAAGGGAGGAAGGGCCTTTTGCCAACACACTGCCCACCCGCACTGGGGCTGGGCGAAGCCTCCTCCACGGCTGGTCGCCCAGCCGTGTGGGAACAGCACTGCATTTTGCACAGCCTGCTTTCCCCCTAGTCCAAAGCAAGACGTGGAGGCTCGCATGTCATTTTGTACTGGCCAGCTAACAGGGGCGAGCTCCTCATGCCAAAGCATCGGCCGGCCGAGCAGAGGCAGGCACACGTTTGCACATTCCCTTTCTCCCCATAGCAGGCTCCCCACCAAAGCGCACCTGCACAGCGAGCAGCGAGCCCTTCCCTGCCCATCTCCGCGGCTTCTGGGCTGCCGGGCTCTGGATCCGGCGGGGAGGCGCAGCCACCCTGCAGCCAGCTTTCCCTGGCCAGCAGCAACG